CTCACTCACTCACTCACTCACTCAATTTTGGTTCAATCCGACTCCTGTAATGAGCACGATCCCGCATACTTTTGGAGAAAGGTTGCTGCTGGAGGTGGCAACGCAACGGCTGGAGAGCAGCACCTCGAGCAGCACAGGCTAGATGATATATAGATGGATGCACATATATATATATATACACATGTATTTGTGAATCTGTATGTACACATGCACAAGCATACACAGTACTGAGGTGTGGAATCATGCCATTGGCAGGAGCACGTTAGGAGACACTGGGTGCTCAGATTGCGAATCGGTTGGAAGATGGTATGCACCCAGCAGGAGCTAGGCGTTCATAGCACTTGTAGAACCTCCAGAACCGCAGCGCGTCTCAGTGAGAATGGAGATGTGTGCTTCAGGCGTCGCGCTGGAGGTTGGCACTGTTCAAACAGAGAGTTCGAGCGAACAAGTTTGTGCAGCAATGAGAGAAGTTGATTCAGTTTCTATCAAAACAAACGAAGAAGACGAAGATTAAAGGGTCCATAAGTTCAAGCGATGCAGAACCAAGCGCTCAACCATGACATGTCCGTGAAGGTTTGTCTTCTTCGTGTGATCTCCAACTCTAGTGATGCTAGATTCCGTTGAAAGTTTCAGTAGCGTAACTATCCAACCACAGCCACACGAGTACGGAAGCCGCAAATTCAGACAGCAAAATGAGAATTTGCAACAGTGGTAGCCGCAGCCTGAAAACGCGGCTGTGTGCAGCGGCCAGCGAGGAGCCATTTGCATGTTGAAACACTTATTGAAAGACCAGTGCCAATCATGATTGATATACGCAGTCACATATGGGCCAGACCTCTAGTTGAAGTTTTGGAAGAACTGCTGGTTGGGGCAGGACTCGTCGTCTGATGTTCCTAGCATGTGTTTCTGAGCTATACAGCCAGAAACACCGCTGACGAATGACTTGCAGGCGTTACTTAAAGGGCTTCTTGCCCTCCCTATCGCAGCACCCACACAGACACCAGACATTGGAGAGTGGGTGGGTTGTGCTCGAAACGGCGAAGCTTTTATCCTTCGCAGGCTCGTGCCTCTGCTAAGTGCGCGTCAACTTTGCTTGAAACCACCATGATGAACAACGGCAGTCGCAATGTCTGCTGTGCGCTGAAGTGTATTGAATCTTCCTGTTTCTGGTGAGGACACGGCCGCAGATGGCGTGTCCAGTGTAGGCAAAAACACCACAGAGGACTTTGCCAACGAGGGCTTGGGTATGTTGGTACAGGCCCATGTATGACGTGATAGCTAGCCGGGCACGCACGGGAAACAACTCGCCCAACGCAGTTGCACATTCGGGTATGCGTGCACATGTGCACTCACACGTGCGCTTTTGATGAGATATGAGCAGGGGTTTGTGCAACGCTGCAATCATCTCATGTGTGGTTTTCGTCTGGGAAGTAGCATGTTCATGATAAAGCCGATGTGTAGATGCGCTCGTGGTAATGTTGATGCAGCAGAGCATGTTGCAAACGAACGCCCTACTGAGGTATCACCACCTACAATGCGGGGATCGGTGCCTGCCAGAGAGCTGCATGCTGGCGCATTGGACATGAGCTGTCCCTGGGCCTGGATGTTTGGCAATGTGCGTGCGTTTTTCCTGGGTTTCACCCTTGGCGAGGCTTCAGAACTTGCCGGGTCTTCAAGCTGACCTCATTACGATGGCACTGGCCGACCAGGTTTTCAACCATGCGGGAGCTTGCGACAGGGTTATAGAGCTCCTGGCGTCTATGGGTTTCGACTGCCAGGAAGAGCTTCAAGCAAGTTCGTTTTTGGGCAGCACGGGTGCTTGACCGGCTTAAGATGCCGGTCGCTGTAAAGTATGCCTGACCGACAAGTTGTCACATGTTCTTCTTCACTGTGCAAGTGCAAGGGGTAAACAGAATTGGCCAAGTCAGTGTACCCAGGAAGTGTAAAGCAGCTGTAGTGTGTTTGCTAGCAGGGTTTGTTGCGGTGATGACAGCATGCTGGAAACCTGGGCAGCCTTTGAGAGGACTGCTTCTGCTTTTGCAGTTCGAACAGCCGTGCATCCTCCCACACACAATAGATTCAAGCCGGGACGGCTCGGTGCTGCAGCGAACCGAGCCACGGACAGCAGATTCACACGAACCGATCTGGATGCAAGACGTACCGGCGCCATGCAGCGTGCTGGAGTTGCAGAGAGGCTGCGAAGCCCGTATACAGACCAAAAGGCTTACAGCACAGCCATCACCAAGTTTGCCAAGCGCAGTGACTGGCAGGGGGCCATCTCTGTGTTGGCAGAGTTGGCAAGCGCGAAGTCCGTTCCAAATGTATTTACCTGCACCGCAGCTATAAATGCTTGTGGCGCATCTGGACATTGGCAAAATGCGCTGCATCTGTTGTGTGAGTTTAGAGCCAGCTCTGGACAAGCCAACGTTATCACATACGGATCTGCGATAAAGGCTTGTGCCAACGGGAAGGAATGGCATCGTTCCCTTTTGTTGCTGCGGGACCTTCAAGACGAAGGGCTTGAGACCAATGTGATCCTCTTCAGCTCCGCGATATCCGCATGTGAGAGGGCAGGAGAATGGCGGCATGCGCTCGATCTCTTGAGCGAGCTGCGGCACACTGCCGCCGAATCCAATGTCATCTTGTACAATGCAACGCTGAGTTCGCTAAAGCACGCTGGTGAATGGGAGCACGCGCTGCTTCTCCTGGCAGCCCTAGACCTTCGCACGACTCGCGCGGACGTTGTTACATATGGGTCGGCAGTTGCGACATGTGAGCTTCAGGGGAATTGGCGTGAAGCTCAAGCGGTACTAGAATCGTCCGACCATATTCCTCCCGACAAAATGACATGCAACGCAATCTTGCGAGCGTGTGTCCACGGTCAGGATTGGGGAAGAGCCTTGCAGTGTGTTCGAGACTTGGAGCGCAACATGACAGCCCAGACCGTGGATTACAGCATGGCTATAAGTGTCTGTGAGAGGTGCGAGCAATGGGAACAGGCGCTGCTGTTGCTGCATAAAATCTTGGATTTAGGGACTTGCAGAGACGAAGCCGCTGTCGCCTCGATAAGTGCGGCTATCAGTGCGTGTGCGCGAAGTGGCCAGTGGGAATGGGCAATCCGCTTATTGGAAGAGGCCGAATCCGTTCGGATACAGGCAGACATCATAACTTGGAATTCTGCAGTCAGCGCCTGCGAGAAGGGAGGAGAGATGTGGCAAGCACATCGGTTGCTACATGAGGCGACCGAGAAAGAGCTGCAAATCAATGCAATTACGTACAATGCTGCAATTACTTCTTGTTGGGACAGATGGCAGGAGGCTCAAGTCCTCGTGAGTGAGATGCAAGACTTGAGTATCCTTCCCAACACGATAACTTACAATGCCGTGATCGCTGCTCATGAGAAGGGTGGACAATGGCAGCGGGCTCAGCTGTGGTTGCAAACTATGAAGGTGGCCAGACTGCAAACCGACATCATTTCGTACAACTCAGTGATCAGCTCCTGTGTGGGCCCTGGGCTGTGGCAAGAGGCCTTACGACTGTTGCGAGAACTCGAACAGCGGGAGCTGCAGGCCAGCATCGTCACATATAGCTCTGCGATTGCTGTATGTGAGAAAAGTGGGAATTGGCAAATGGCTTTGGCACTCCTTCAAACGCTGCAGCGCCGACGTGTCCAGGCAAATGTTGTGGCCTACAACGCCGCCATTGCTTCCTGCAGATCGAGTGGTACTGGTGGACAGTGGCAGCAGGCAGAAGGTCTTTGGCAGGATCTTAGAACGCGTGGAGTCTTAGCGGATGTCATCACTTTCAACGCAGCAATGAGCACCTTCGAGAAAGGAGGTAAGTGGATGCATGGGTTACATTGGCTCTGCCTGCTGCAGCCAAGTTGGGAAAGTCGGTCAAATGCAGATGTGATCAGCTACAGCTCATCCATAAGTGCTTGTGCAAAGCACGGCATGTGGCAGCAGGCGCAGCAGTTGCTTGTTGATGTTCATGAGCAGCAGATGCAAGGAAATACCATCACCTTCAGTGTCCTAGTTACTGCTGTGGGGGAGGATGGACAGTGGCAGCAGACAGTTCTGTTGCTGCGAGAGCTTGAAGGCCAAGGGTTGGAAGCGACGTCGAACATTTTTGCCTCAGCTATCGTGACCTTCGACCAGCACGGAAGGTGGCACGAAGCAATTCGCGGCTTTAACTTGGCAAATCGTTGTAGCTACAGGGAGTTGGCTTTTGTCAGCAAAGGAATGGAAAAGACTGGTGGCACAACCTTTCAGATGAGCTTTGTACGAGTTGTGGAGACTTTGCTCGTGAAGACAGCTGCAACTCATTCTGCAACCGTACAGGTCCGTCAGGTTTCCTGTTCATGTCTGCCATGCATTCTCTGAATCCTGTTGAGAGCCCTGGCTCATGGCATACATGGGTCTGTGCACAAAGCACCGATGTCATTGCAGATGCCGTAATGCTGTACCAGCGACACCTGCGACCATCAGAGGTTCTAATTTCAAGCCCATAGATGGTGTCCAGCATCTGTCTATGTCTCCGAGCGGTGGATGCGCCTTCAAGCGCTTCGCCAGGCTCTCGGTGCCAGAAGTTGTTTCACCAGATTGTGCCACTGTCGTCGCCCCACAAGGTTGCGCCGCAGGTCGGCTTTGCGGCGCGTTGCTCGAGGGACCTGCAAGACCTGCGTGTCGTGCTTAGAAGGCGAAGGTCTTTGAGTCCGTGAATGAAGGATGACGTTTTCTTCCACCTCGAGGATGGCCGCCTTCAGCTCTGCGTGCCTCGGATGCTTTTGATCTTCCCGCTCCAAGGTTGCCGGCATAGGGCATGTATTGAGCAGAAGGTCAACCGCTGCTTCGCCAAGACGGTCAGCATCCTGCGTTTTCACTACGGTGGCGCTGAGGTCTTGGATCAGGAGCTCCGTCCCTGAGTGATTGCTCCGTCAACCCCTCCTACAGTCCTACAGGCTACAGATGTCGGCACTCACGGACAGGACGGCTGGGCGGCCAAAGTGCCACCTGCGCTCTTCCCTTCTTTGGCAACGAAGCTGCGACGCCTGGCGGCAGCAGCCCAGGCGACATACTCGGTGCAATGACATCTGAAAAAAGCACAGCTTTTAGGCTTTGGTGCCGTTGGGCCAGGGTCATCAAATGGCTTTGAGTCAGCCTTTTGTGCCTGCGCAGGTGCCTGTCTTTGTGATTCAGGGCCCTCCGGCGACCAGAATGGTGACTGGGTCAGAACAGGGACGATGGTCACCGTGGCTGTCTGAACACACAGCTTCTGGAAAGGTCGCAGCGGCTGTGCTGCGTTTTCCGGCCGGCTCGGGCGACTTCGTCGTTGGGATGGAGAGGAGCGCGCTCGAGCACCTCTCGCTCTGGCCTCCAGGAGCGCCTGCAGGCAGCAAGGCTGCAACGGAGCTTTCTGCGAGTGGGCAGTTCAGGATGCGCGGGGCTCTTTCTGGGCGAGGCCTTCGCGAAGTGCGCACCGGAGGCGCAACAGAGCACCGCAGCTTGCAGCCCGTCGTATTTCCTGCTCAGGCGTTAGGGCTCCTTGCTGCGGCCGCGAGCTGGGCTGTGGGCAGGGCCGCTGTTTCGGTCGCAGTGCTGGAGGAACGGCAGATGCCGCATCTGCCGCATCTGCTCCTTCCTCTTTCGCGCTTCCGAGCTCTGTGCACGAGGGCTGCCTGGAGGGCCACGCTCTGGCCAGCGTCCTGCCGCACGCGGCCGTGGCCCCGGCCGTCCTTTTGCCAGGCGCATGCAGGGTGTGCGCGGTTGCTGCGACACTCTTGCGACTCCCTTCGTAGGTGCAGGAGCCAGGGAGGGCCTCTCGCTTGCGCTTGTGCTGGCATCGCTCTTGGCCAAAGGCCTTCAAAATTCTGTGCGAATGCATCCAGGTTCTCTGTTCTGCGAGGCTGTACGGATGTGGCTTTGATCGAGGCTGAGGAGGGTAGCAGCATTCAGGCAGGGTGGCATTGAAACGAAGTTGTGTTTGTTGACTTCGTTCTTCGATGCAAGATGTAAGGACCCTTTCCTACAGAGCTGGGCTGATCGGCTGCCGGAGACAGACGAGGCCGGCTGTGTTGCCTGGTCTAGTGATGAGCGAGGTTTGCTTCGTGCAGAATTCTGACGGTGAGGGCTTTTGGAGAGTCCTAAAGCACACAAGAGAAGTCCAAGTGAAATCGAGGGAACCCCGCCCAAATCTTTCAAGCACACTTTGAGAGTTAGAAGGCTTCGAGCACCCTTGCATCTTGAATCCCGGAGCGTGGACAGCACTTCATTTCGGCTCCAAAGTGTGCGTGTCTACAAGAGCGCATATCCACGTTTTGCACTGAGCCGAGAGCACGGCCGACCGTGACTGGATACTGTACCCTAACTTAGCTGAGCATTGCCCGCAGAAAAGTCTTGATGCCATATGCAGATGCCAGGGAAAAGCAACACTCCAAAAAAATCCTGGCACCTCTTTTGATCCTCCATGGTTTACCACTATGGACCCTTACGTGAATCGTTTTTGCTAACTTGCATCTTGATTCGTTTTCGCTTATCCAGCACGATTGCGTGAATGCTCCGCTTCTTTTCGGCCAGGCACCTCAAGGTCTTCGTGTGTGGGCCTTCCCCCTCGATGCAGCCGAAAGCGCTTCGGCCTGCCTGGAGGAAGGATTTTCGAAGCCGCATCTCACCTGGCCTCGCTGTCTGTCGCGAGGAAGCTCTTGAGGCTTACCGGAGATCAAGACCCTATGTGCCTTGGCTGCGTAATGGCCTCATTCTTTGTAGTTGTCTCGGACCCTTGGGTGCAGATCCATGCACTTGTGGGTGCGGGCGTGATGGAGGCAGATATCCGCGAGGTCAGAGCGGGAAGGGCTGCACGAAGGGCTGCTGTGTCTATCCTTTCATGGCTTGGCGTGCCGATTTGCTATCCATCGCTGGGTTCCTTGCCTGTGGATGCTTTTCGTGATGCAGGCGCTGGAAACATCAGTGCATGCCCTCGAGAGCGCACAGGCATGGACGTAAACTCGGAGGCGGTATGGAAAGAGCGAGTACTGCTTTGAAAGTTCATTGAGGTGCTGGAGCTGACCGCCAGGAGCCTGGACCTGGACTTGCATTCCTGCATCCTCTAAGACCGTAAGAGTCGTGAACTGCAGCCTTCAAGGCCCAGTGTCTGCTTGCAGAGCCGCAAAGCTCGAGGAGGCTTCAACAAAACCATCCATGGGGAAGCGAAGTTCTAGAAGCCTTCATTGTCCTTCGCAGGAAGATGTGGCTCCTTCCAATCGGCAGGTGCAGCTGGCTCCCAAGGTTGTTGCACTTACCACCATGCGGTCACATGCTTTTGAGTCTTTTGTGTTGCAAGGGGGATGCCCCGGTGCTAGTTCACAGCATTGCTACGGGCGGCCCCCTTTGCTCCTCAGGTCGAGCTTTGGCAGCGCTCGTTGAGGCATTGAAGGAGTAGGTTGCTACAGGCATTGGCAGCGTTCTTCTTCTGGCCATGCTGCTTGTGGGTTTACTGTGGGTCTTGCGGCCTTTCGGGGCTATTCTGCATTCACCACCAAGCTTGGGGGAAATACATGCAAATTCCGCGTTGTGCTGTCCTTACTGCCCTAGTGCAGACAGGCACGGCTGGGCGACTCTTGGGCTTTGACCTCCGTCGTCAGGGAAGCAGGCAGTTTGTTGCTTGCCAGCCTTTCCAGATCCAGATCGCTTCGAAGTCTTCTCGAGAGGGGGTCGGGTGACAAGCTGTGAGTTGTTTTCGGACCCTGTGAGTCTGGTGTGGAGTTGTGCGGGCTGATGGGCGGAATTGAGCACTCGGGGTGCAAGCAACGAGCAAAGCCTTTCAACAAGATTGGTCTTGAGGGATTGATTCTTGGATTCTTGAATGTGTTCTAACCCGATAAGTCGTTAAGTTACCTGAGCAACGTCTAGGTGTGGGTTGTAGTCGGTACAGACACCGCTCCTCTGACGACTTCGCGCAGGTGACGGCCAGACTCTGGCACTGCTGGATCTGGCGGATCCAGACAGCTTGTGTTTCCTGAAAGCGAGGCAGAAGGCCCCCGCCAGAACACAGTACTTCCTGCATTTTCCAGTGCGGATCTGCTCAGGAGCCCTTTCCGCTGCATGTCCTAGCGCTCCTACCGTCCCTGGCCTCGACTCGTGTGGCCGGGGCCAAAGGGTCAATCGGTGCGGACCAGTCTGACCTCGTTTCGGAACCTCCCTCCCCCACTCGGCCAGAGGCCTGGCAGTTGGTCGCGGAGCCGCTGGCGCTGCTTCTCGGCCTCGGAGAGGCCCCCGAAAAGCGTAAAGGGGGGCCCCGCATCCTCTTCTTGGGAGGACTTTCTGCTGGAGCTCGGCCTGGTTGCAGCCCTGGGAATCGGAGACGAAGCAGGTCGACCTGCTGAATCACTCCCTAGGACCCTAGGAGCTGTCTTAACACGGCGTTTGGCAGGTCTGGAAACTACCGATGCGCTGTCTTTCCTGGAGGCATCATGTTATGAAGCTCTGGGTGTGTTTGGTTGGACTCCACCAACGGGGCTTATTCAACACTCTACTACCGGATTCTACAGGGTTCCGTCACTGTCGGGAATTGCGCAAGGCATTCAAGCGCCCAAGTGTTGGTCATCTCTCAGCCAGAGGTGCTTGCAGCCTTACAGACGTGCGGTTTCTGAGATTCCAGAGGTACCGAGGCTGAGGGGCACAAGCGAACAAGTCCGGATACGGAAGGTGACAAGGGCGTAAGCCTTAAGCTCGCCTAAGTGCCCCAAAAACCGATTGTGGCTTGGAGGAGGAATTTTGTGATCATGCACACAAGCGTTGTGTGAAACACCTGCACTGCATCAGCGCCTTTACTCACAGAGTTTCCAAGCTTTCAGACTCAACAGCGCGAAGTCACACGCCGAGCGTAGAGCATCTACAAAAAGGATGGGCGGTTTGCATGCATGCCATTCATGTGTTCTGTCTACGAGCTTGAACGGGAGGGCGCCATGTGCCATGCTGAGTCGCAGGCTTTGGCCTCTGCAGACATGTCGGCCGTGGCCTTCCAGCTGCAGCCGCGGCATCTCGACTTTGCATCTTCATCCTGGAACAAGCAAAGCCCAGGTAGCATACACTTCTGCGTTCGTCTCCAACAGTCCTGAGGCCGCAAGCACACCTGGCGCTGCCGGCGTTTGAGGCCTCCAGCCCGCTCCCAGCTATCCGAATTCGTGTGCATGAATGTCGGCGTCGGTTTTCTCAGTCGGATTTGCTCCAAGCTCGCAGGCCGATTCGACAACAATCCTGTGTGCAGAGAGTGCAGCCTTGGGAGAGAAGGAGGCCAGCATTCGCGGTGGGTTTGCACCATCTGTCCATGGCCAAAAGAGCTTGTGGCACACATGCTGTGCGCTTCCTCACAGCACACTGGGATTCGGAATATAAGCCCGAATGTCAGACACAGGGCATTTCGAGTTTGGGGTCTGCGGTTGGTCTGGTCTGCGGTTGGTCTGGGTGGCTGCGTCTAGGGCTCACAGGTAGTCAGCATCGTTGTTCTCTACAGGTTGCTGGGCACGATTCGTAGTCTTGGGTCATGGTCTGGCATGTAGCAGCCTGCCTGCATCGAGGTTGGTTTTTACAGTTTAAGCTCTGCCTCCAAATATGATGCACTATTTCATCAGTGCTTGAGGGTTTTCGGTTTGACATTCTCGCCGTCGTGCTAGTTTTAAGATTGACTTCTTTTACGGCTTGGCGTTTATCGCTCCGGTTTTGGGATTTTCGGGGTTAGCTATCCGTCTTGGGTTTTTTCTGGTGGTCTTCATCGCTCCCTTCGGTGCCCAGTTCAAACGGACTTGCATCAAGAAGGTCCAGAGTTTGCCTCCTTTCAGTGAGAAGTCCATCTTGCACAGGCCCTGAGGTATACAGATCGCTTAACAGCAGATGCAGCAATGGGCCCACTGCAATCAGGTCCTGGCCTCCTTTACATTGTGGCCAAGCACAGGAGAGTCGAGGCATCGCATTCAGGGCGAGTGGCCATTGAACCTTTCATCGGTAGCTGGTCTTGATCACCATGTGTAGCCGTAGCCAACCTGGAGAGACGTTTTCTGCTTGGTAGGCCGTCTTGTTGCAGTCTTTTCGCGACTAGCGCCAGGTTGCTGGCACCAGGCGTCCTGCAAGACGACTTACCAGCAGGTGTCGCCCGAGCAGGCCCCACCCCGCCGAGAAGCCCTGCTGAGATTGGTGCACACCCCGCGGCTTGAGTCAAGTCGGTGGTCCCGGTAGTTCCTGAAAGACGACGCGAGCTATGCTCCATGTAATCAGCATAATATATCCAAATCTATGTCAGTCTATGTATATATATATATATAGTAGTAACTAGTAATAATAATAATAATAATTTGTATGTGCATGTGCATGTCTTCATACAAGACGACTCTGTAGTTGGAAGCTTGCTAGGTATGGCTTACCGGCCCTCTGCTCAATCGGCACAGCCTCGTGCGCCTCGTCTGAGACAGTCTCTCCAAAGCAGACAGGGGTCCTTGGATTCTTTTGACTGAGGTGTGGCATTTGACCGTGCATGTGATGGCAGAGGCCCACAGCTGCGCAGAGTGCAGACTCGCAGCCAACGCTTCGCCCCGCTTCAGGCCCGCCTCTGCCGCCGAGCTGCAGGTGACTTTGGTGGGCGCGCGAGCGGTGCCTTCGCTTGGCGCTGGGCTCTTGGGGGCAAAGGGGGGCAACCACACGATCTGCGAATGACACGACGAGCCAAAGTTAAGCCGATCCCGCAGACAGAAACGCATCTGTCGAAGCAGGTGGTGGGCCCGGATCCAAAGCAGATCTGTACCTTGGCAAGGTTAAGTTAAAGCTATTCTCAGTTTCTTTCAGACACAGGCGGGAGGCGGGCTAGGCATGGTCTTGGCTGGACTTGGGGTTTCAAAGAATGCTACCAGAAGAAGCTACTGTAGCAGTCCAGGTCCAGGTCAGGTTTCGGCCCGAGCTAGTTTGCACTGTTCCTCTCATTAAAGTTTCACAACCTGCGATGCTCTATTTCACCGCCATGCGTTTCTACTTTTGATTTGGGATGTCAAGGGATGCCGTACAGTTTTCCTCCAAACGGGAGATGTTCGGCCTCGTTCCGTTTTTCTCCGCTGCCGACCTCACAGATCGGGGCAATTCGGGGCATGGCTGTGTTCCACAAGTGCGAGTGTTTGGGATACGCACGCTCAAGCATGAAGCATTTTTGGCACTCTACTGGCAACTGACTGGAGCTGGACACGACATGTCTTTTGTGGCAGCGCTGGACTCGGCACAGCAAGCATAGCGGTACGTGGAATTGTTCTGACTTCGGTGAGTAGAAGCCCTTCAAAGGTCGCATTGTATAGTCGTGGCTTTTGTATGTGTACGCAGTTTTTCTTGCCCTTGCAGTGGGAATCTCCTGTCAACATGCAAGATATATCCGCACACAATTCATCTTTATCGTTATTCTCACAGGATGGTGGATAAAGATTGCATACTGCAGCCCTTAAGCAGTTCAAGTCGTTGCAGCCGCTCCAGTGACACAAGAACCAGAATGCACATTGGCTCATTTTGGGTGTTTGAGGTGGGCTCACGCCGCCCTTTTGCTTGGTGAAGAGGAAAATTCTCAACGTGAAGAGGTGCTACAGGGAATCGGGAATGCAACTTAGATGTGCATAAAGCTGATGTGAATGCGATGTCTGCCGTTTTTAGGAAGAGTCATCCCATTACAGCGAGGAATACGAGCAGGACGGTGCCCGATGCATGGCTCTTGACAGAAAGCTGCCCCTGTACTAAGTACAGCAATTCCCATCACACGTGACTGTCCATGAATGGAGCATTGTACTCGAAGCTTGGCGAACAATGGCCAGCCAGCAGGAGGACGACACAGAGAGTGAGGAGAATGTTAGCACAGACAGCCAAAGCCAAGCTGTTAGTGCGACCTTATCTTCACAATCAAGCCATCAAAAAGTACCAGCTCGCAGGGACGAGTGTCATCGGCTGGGGCAGTGGAAGTTCTTGTTGTTCTTCAAACTCAGACTCTGACGCACTTAGGTTTCATGTGATCGAAGCTTTCGGGGCTGGTGCTCGTTCAGTCATATTGTAGTATGACCGAATCCTATCGAATGCCCACAAAGGCGAGGTCTGAGAGTCCACCGAAAGAAGGTGACTCGTTGTATTTTGGAGTCGTGTGTGTTTGAGCCAGAGGGTGTCCTAGTTCTTGCGCTGGGGATTTCGAGGTCTAGTTATGTTACAGTCGATGCGACACAGGCGGAAGGCAGTGCATTAAGAGAGCTTCTGATCGGTTCCTTTTGCGGTGTGCGTCTGACGGTACTTTCTCGGATTAACTCGGTGAGAAGGAGCACCAGATTACTCAGCTGCCGTGATGAAGTTATGTCGGACTGACCGTGCACATACAGAGGGTTTTCATCAATGGCAGGAAGACTGGTAGCCTGCGCTGTTTTCGCCTGCACGTTGCTTGTGGCTTGTTGGCATGGAAAACTGCTTATTCTGGTCCATTTTCTCACGCACCGCCCCGGCTGACGGAGTGACTATCCGATTGACTGGCTGGTTGGCTGGCTGGTTTCTGTGACAGGCTAAATGATTGAGTGAACGACAAAAACACAGACACCCACACACACAGCGATGCATGTCGGCAACATCATACATCATGAGTTGAAAAATTCGTCGCGGGCCTTGTCTGAACACGTTTTGCTGCCACAGTGCTCCAAGCCGCTTAGCGCCTGGCGCGCTTTGCCGGCCATGGCTCCCTGGCTGAGCAGTTCAAAGGGCTGTTGTTAGATCTTGTTTTGTCGGTAGCTGCGCACAAGCGAGACGCATCTGCACGGACTTTCAAGCGCAATGATGTTCGTTGAGTGCGGCCGGAAGTAGTGTATTTATTCGATGCTTCTGCCCAGGTGCGCCGATTGGTGGCTATTGCCCTCGCTTTGCTCGCCGGGCACTCGACAAGACTGTGTTGGACTCTGCCAGGGGAGTTCGCAGACTCATAGTCCGGGCTTTTCCCTGCTCGGCCTCCACCCCGCAGGCCTTGCCGGTGAGCCTTGCGCTCGAGGATGAGGATGAGGTGCTGCAATGCGTGCTGTGCTGTCCAGTGCTCGCTTCATTTCGTCGCAGAGTTTTTGTGAAGATCCTCAAGTGCAGCTGGCCGACATTGCACAAGCACCGGCACGCAGAGCACGCACCAGCTTTCAGAGCCTCCAACTCCCCTTTGTGCCATGCCATGGGCCATGGCCGATGGCCGCCAGCCGGACAGTGACAGGTCTGGCAACACTCAGTTTGCTCGTGCCGTGTTATGCCGCGTTTGTCTGCAGGGTGGGCATGCAGTCTCTACAAACTAGCGGCTACGACTGCAACTGGTACAGGTTGTAGGGATGTCGGGATCATCCAGGGATCTGTATCACCACATTGACATGTCAATCTTTTTCGTAGCGCAAGTTGGTGTGGAGTCTCAGAGTTGACGATTTGACATTGGTTCCTCCCGCTACTCTTCAGGAGGAGCTCCAGTATTGTGCTTTGAAGCCCGACTGTCGAAAACTGGGGAAGACAGTTGCGCACATCGCCTGGGTGAAGCGATGGGAAGCTTGGCTTGCGGTGTGAGCTGCGAGTCACCGAGAGGCAACGTCTGTTTGGCCGCTCCCTAGGAAGCTGCCAGCGCATTGCTTGGCGACGCCTGGGCAGGAAATGCACAGATCGATGTGGTGACGCTCAGTCAGGCTCGGTCTTATGTGTTTGTTGCGTTTCGGGGCTGAAGCCTCTGCTATCTCTTGGTGCCTTCAAGGACACTGGGCGCTGCAGCGTCTGCATGCACGGTAGCCGCTGGCTGGCGCCAGGGCTCCGAGACATGGCCAAAGTTGGTGCAGGTTTCAACAGTCACGATGCAGTGAAAACAGAGAAGAGATAAAGTTGTTTGGCTTTGTATAGCAAACTTAGAGTGAGTTCTTGACAGTTAGCATCGGAGTGTCAAGATCCGTCGAGGAACTGCTGGCGTCGGGCCGTGGTCGTACTATCCGCAGCGGTGCCGTGCTTCGGGGCACCTCGCTCGGGGTGGTCCGTGCAGGAGGTGGCGGGCTTCCAGCAATTGTGCGGACTTCGTTGATCGAGACGTAGTTACAGTCCGATGACCCCAGTAGGACAGTAACATTCACTTTGTCGGGGAGGTGCATGGGCAGCCGCACTCGCCTTGCTGACCGAGTCGCAGGAACCGCAATTAAGCCCGAACTTGCTTTACACTGTCTTGCAGCAATGAAGAGGGTCGGTCCAGCAGTGCACTGTTCGACAAGAGGACCACGCATGCCGTGTCAGCGCCGTTCACGTGAGCACCGCGGCAGCTGCGGCATCAGAGGGAAGAATCTGGGGTGTGGCCGCAGCAATCCTGCAGGCCGGGATGGCCAGGGAGCGACATTGGGGTCGGGAGTCATGAGCATGCGGGAACAGGCAGAGAGCGGCGTGGTGCTGGACCCACCCGCAATCAGCTCGCTAGTGGCTTCGCTCAGCAAGGGTAGCCAGTGGCAAGGCGGGGCCGCACCTGGTTATGTGTAGCTCATCAGCATGCTGGAAGCCCTAGATCCAATCGCTGATGGAAGGATCGTTAGATGTGTTCGTGCGGCACACGGCGTTCCTGACGGTTCGCTTGGCAAATGCTGCGCTCACTGCTATGGAAGTGGGAGAGCTGCGCCTCACCTGAAGAAGAAGAAGCCAAGTGCCTCGTCGTCTTCCAGCGTTTACCCGCTTCTTCCCTGAGGTGGCCGTCGGCCATGGCACTTCTGCAAGATTTGCAGCAAGCACGTCTTCGACAGCACATCAGAGGTGCACCCAGACCTTCCCACGTCCCTCGACATGTGCCACCGACACCTACAGGTGTGAACAGTGCGGCAAGTGCGGCTGCGCAAGGCGTGGGCTGGCGAACTTCGGCAAATGTGGAAGTTCATCACTTGATGGGTCACAAGGATTTTAGAGATGCATTGGTCTCAAAGGGTTCTTCTCGGAGTATGTAAGGTAATTGAAAGTTACATTGAACTGCATTCAGTTGTGACGTTTGCTAGTGTGAGCTTTGGTCTAGTGCTGGCGATGCAAGCACTGAGTTACAGCACGTGTTTATTGAAACTCGCAGCAAAGTTTCGTCAGAGTCGGGGAAAACCCCAGGCTCAGGCATCATGGGCTTGAGGCACTACCCCCCTCAGGGGCGAAGTAACTAAACCCAATTGACGCTGAAACTCGGTGCAATTGTGCTCACAGAGTTAGATGGTTTCTTCTGTGAAGTTACTTTGAAGAGTAACCCTTCCCAAGGATGGTCGCTGGACTTGCTGGAGAGGCTTCGCGGCTTGGGGATTAGCTCAGCAGTTCCAGATTCCAGGGCAAGGACCTGAAGAGGGTACCGGTATCGCCTCGTCAAGTGCTCGAGGTCACGGCATGATGCCGAAGACCGCGATCCTGTCGGCGTCAATGTGGCACTGGCAGCTCTCGCCCGCGGCTTGCACTGGGGTTGGAACCCGAGCTTCCTTGCCTCTGGCTGTATCTTTGGCATGACTGGTTCGTCATGCCAACCATAAGCTGAGGCTCGTCTTTGTCGGTGCTCCGGTCTCTTCCTGGTTTTCGACATGCGCCCGACATTACCTCCTTCGGTACAGTGGCAAATGCCTGCAAGAGGGCAGGCGCGCGACTCAGCGCCGTGCAAAGGAAGAAGAAACATAGACCGTAAGAGCACAAACCCTAGCATCTGTCTTTGAAGATATGGCGAAGCAGGCATTCGTGTGCTTTAGCCTCCAGGGTCGAAATCATAACGCTTTCTTCTGAACCGCGGCAGACACTCGGGGGAAGTCGAAACAGCGTGCGGTTCTAAGGGGCTGTCTGTATGAGCATGTGTCCGGATTTGTTCTGCAGTTTCATTCAGGGCCTGGTAGAAAGGCGTCGCAGCAATCTCAGTGCAAGTTGAGTGTCTTTAACTCTATGACTCTATGGTGTAAGGGAAGCTTCGAAAGCTGCAGCTCCAGGGCCTCCACCTAAAATATTACATCGTCCAGGCAACAAAGAGGTTTAACCCTTATCTTCTTGGGGAAATGCACATCGTTTAGCGTCCACGTGGGGTTAAGCAATCGGAGCCCCTCCTGGCATACATCCAAGCATCAACCGTTTCAGCGTCCACTGCGTCCACCTTGGATCTTGGGGTTAAGCACGTCGGAGCCCGGCCTGGCATGCATCCAAACATCAGTTTCAGCGTCCACACTGAGGTTCCGGTGGTGTGGAATAGCCGGATTTTCTGATTTCGCCACAGACTTTAGCTGATCAGCTGTTATTATCTCGAATGAGTCTCGGTCACCACGTTTGGTCGGGAATCAACACATCTATCTCTCTGGTATATCACACATTAATCGGAGATCTTTAGCTGCAGATTTGCATGTGTGGTTGCAAGTGTAGAGATTGGATTGCTATGACTCTCCACCAGCGTTTTGCATAGAAGCCGCACGCGGAAAACACGTCTCGGACACAACGGTTCCTTCGTGCAAACAAGATTTGTTATAGCTTTGTCTTGGGAGTCGTAACGGCGCGGCTCATTGGGGAAACGCCTCCTCGAACATACATACGTACATACATACACACATACATACATACGTACACACAGATATACACACGCCCACGCACACACTCACTCACTCACACACACACACAGACATTCTTCACATCTGGCATTCTGCAGCTATGTGCAACACGGGGCATGCGTGAAAAATGCGTCACACACGTTGCACACCTTGTACTTGTACGGAATATGTTGTATCTATGGTCTGTATTCGCTACAGACACCATTTGTGTTGCATGCGTGACATGTATTTCGCCAAACTCAGAAGCCATTTACAGATACAGGTGCAGAGTGAATAGCTTTTGTAGCAGGATGAACATGCCCAGAACGACATGGTGTTCACGCCATAGGTAGCATGCATAAAAGATCAAACAACGCAACCTAACACAGAATGTTGCTCGCAACACAGCAGAGCCCTCGATACCACACCAAAACGATGTACATCGTACATCAATCATCGAAAGTTATCACAAGCTCAAGCGCATTATGGTTCACTGAACTGAACAAGACAAAAGCAATCACCACAGTGTAAAGGCTGCGAGCCGAACGAATGCTGAATACAAGAGCCATTGGCGAGCTCGCGTGTGCCGGACATGTTGCTGCAGAGCCAAGACCGGGGGTTAATCATTCACCGTCACTACACTGAACCTAGTCCTGCGCTTCGGCATGCATGGCTTCGAGATGTCTCCAATATCTGGACATGTCGCTGCAAGGTAGTTATCGTGTTTAGACATACAAGTGATAAGCTGGCAGAGAAAACGCAAAGATTGCGGAGGCGGGGTGGGGCCGTGCCGGCTTCCAGGAACACAATGCAGCAGAACCACCATAAATGGGGCTCCACAATTATTGCGCTTTCGTGAACAGTCTTTCAAGGCAATCGTTTCATCCGGATTCATCTGCTCGTTTGGCTTAGATAGGGAGGCCTACACCGGGAGGGAGGCATTTTCCTTAAAACAGTTGAGTGAGAGAACTCCCCTTCTCTCTCTCTCTGCTGCGCCCTGAGGTAACCTAGCCTTGGCCAAGAAACTGCTGGACGAAGCGCAGCGAAGCGAAGGTGCCCACAAACTTGAAGTTCTGCCACGTGTCCATCTTGCTTCTTGAGGCCTCACCGTCAGCGCCACCATCTTCGGTGCGGTGCTGGCAGGATGCACTTGGGCGACTGGGCATGTTGGATGTGTGGCCGTGACGGCAACAAGGGGTCCGCCTTTCAACGTGTCAGGCCACGGCTTCTGCACTCCTCCAGTCAGCGAGGGCTGCTGCAGTGGAGGCAGACGCTGCACTGGCAAATGCGGCAGCCAGTGCCGTGGCTTCTTTAGCATTTGTCGTTTGGGTCACCGCAAGAAATACTTCTCGACTCTCAATCTTTGTTTGAAGGCGCTTGTGAGCAACATGGTGCCTGGCAGACAGCCACACGTTTGTTCCCGTTCCTGGGACAAGCCGTCGACAGCCTAACGATCGGTGCCCCGGCCTTGCTTGCAGGATCTTGCTGGCAGGATGAAAGTAGCTGGGAGCCCATGCGGTTTCCAAGGTGCCGCAACCGCAGCTTGTGCAGTGGCGGGTGCCTGGGTTGCGGCATTGGGGCTACTGCTTTACGGCAGCTGGAGGCCAGGGCGGAGAGGGCCGAGCACGTCTGGGCGTGCGAGTGCGAGCCGAAGCCCTCTCTCTCTCTCTCTCTCTCTCTCTCTCTCCCCTCTCGAGGGCTCTGCCGTCCGGGCCTGTTTCTCGAGCTGCGGCCGCAGCGGCGGCACGACAAGTGGGCCGCTGGCAGGAGGTCTGGCAGTGCAAAGCAGGAGCACATTGTCGAAACTTTTGGTATCTGCTCTGCGCCAGGTGGTTGCCTTGCTCACATGGTGCGGAATGGACAAGGAAGCCGTGATAGAGTGTGACCCAGAATGCCAGAACGTTCGGAGAGCGGCGCTGTGAGAGGACCGTCGTCTGGACATCCCGGGAGCAATGCTGGCTGCAAGCTGCCTCGAGGCTCTAGTGGGCTGCGCCTCCCCCGAGCAGCGCACGCTTGATGTCCATGGAGTCGTGTGAAAGCAATACAGAAATCGCAGGAAGCAGCCGCACATCACATGCATCAGTACCCTGCTTGAATCCGTGCGTCCACTATGCCTCTGTAGCCGCTACTCGGGCCCTTGGTGACCTCGGAGCGTTTCTTTCGGCATCAACCCCTAAGCAAACCAAAAGTGCATGGTTTGCAATGAGGTGGGGCGTGGTGGGCTGATGGGGGATGTGGTGAGGGATCTGGTCGGGTGTAATGGCGCTAATGCTGGTGCTCGTGCTAGATGTAGGAGCTGTTGTAGTGGTAGTGGTCGTGGTAGTTGTTGAAGAATAAGCAGTCGACGACTGATTCATTTCATTAAAGGACCGGCTCTCGAGGCGCCCCCAAAACTAAAAGCCCATCCGCGCAACGAGGCAGCGATCCTTAGAATGGAAAGCCATCCCCAAACCAATAAATAGATCCATCTGCATAACCAGCAGGCCGATAATGCATCCCCGAACTCCCAGCATCCGCCTCCGAAAAACAAGCAAACAGCAACTTCCAGAAGGCCTGCGAAGGTGGATATCTGCGCAACCGGGAAGCAGTATCAGAAATACGGGAAGGAGCCACCCCACCAGACCCAACCCCATTCTCAGCCTGGATTCTAGTGAGTGTGAAGGCGAGTGGGGGGAAAAACGACGTCTGCCAATATCCAGGAAGGGGAGTTGAAGGGGATGGGAAGACATGAAATCTACCTGCAGCCGAATTTCTTCAGCAGGTGCGAAGCCCAAGAACAGCGCTGCAGAGGCGACGGCGACCACCTTCGAAGTGTTTTTTTGCTTTTGCATACCTTCGCTGCAGATTTTTGTGATTTTTTGCGGTTGCCTTCATTGCGCTGATAGTCCTGCGCGCAGCTTCCAGTCGCAGGCTTTTTGAGGAGGTCTCCAGCTCCGCTGTCCTGCTGCTGTCTGAGCGACGCGAGCTCTGAACGGCTCCAGTTCGAGGAGATTGGCTGAGACGTGTCGTCGCAATGTCGGAAAAGCGGTGACTCCGGAGCCGAATGCTGCATCTGCTTCTGAAGCTACGCGCAGGGAAAGAGTTGTACAATGTGAGGCCTACAGCGAGGCCGTGGCCAACTCAGAGGACTCCGTGACAGGCGGGTCAGGGTAGTGCCGTCGTATGCACCCATCATCAAACAGCTTTGTTTCGGGTCACGGTGGACGCCGCTCGCAGTCTATGTAGGCAGTGATGACATTGGCTTGGCCGAGACACCATCTTCAGTCTACGCCTGGACCTTGGAGAGGGAGAGGTGCTCAGCCTAGCTTGAGGTGCTCAGTTCTTGGAGATAAGGTGATGGAGCACGGTTTCCTGACCAACTCCATAAAATGGATGCCGGAGCAGCACTCAGCCACCTTGGGGTTTCTCGAGAGGTTTTGGAGCGTCTCGATCCAGTGGAAACTGATTGGGTGTTGAAGCCAGAGCAATAAGCCTTAACCCTCTCCAAGCCACTTCAATAAGCCATTCGAGCTTCATCTTCTTCGTCTTCAGCTGTTCTTCGCCCTGTTCCTCTCAGCGCGGCACCATCATGCTTTCCGGGCACGGGGCTGGCTACGAAGCGCGGCTCAGCGACGCCAAGGCGCCGGGATAGTGTCCTCCAGCGGGTAAGGAGGCGTTGCAGCATGCTTCAGGGATGCAGGGACAGCTTTCGGGGGAGGATGTACACTCTTGCATATGCACAGTTCATGGTATCATCGGAGAGGCTCTGAGCCTAACTTATAAAAATGCCTACATTGCAAAGCAGCCAGCTCCGCCTGTTGAGCGAGCTGGACAGTGCCTGGGTGTCCAGTGAATCGGCGCGCCTGCAAGGAGTTCAAGCAGCTGAAAACAGAGCAGCTTCAGCAGCTCATCTCCGAGGCGCAATGATGTCGCGGGACTTGCCGAGGGGCTGCAACCCGTGCGTTGCTACGTTTGCCGGCAGGCGGCGAAGGACCACCAGTACTATGCCATTCGCATGTGCGCCGTGATAGTGTTCTTGGCTGCCTGAAGCATCCAGCCCAGAGCTCACGGCCACGACGCCGTGCGACATCGCGCTGGACTTCGGGCCAGAGCGTAACGTAGCTAGCAGCTAGCAGAAAGTTCTCTAGCCTATCGGCTGACAGAAGGTACAACCCAGAGAACCCCAAGAGAGTTCTGCAGGCCGCGCTTGGTTACATCGTGCTTGAAAGTCTCAGCCCCGGTCCAACCTCGAGCTCGCATGAGCTCGCGTGAAAGCAGGCCTCCATTCCCGCGAAGCTCCTAGCAGAGCACTTCGAGGATTGGCACGACATCCTAGAGGCTCGCAGAGACGAGCGGTGGCACTCGCGGCGATGCAGCGGCGCCCGTCGCCACGCTCTTGGAGCTTCTGTCCGTTTAGCCGCTTTGGAGGTCTCTGTGAGCGACGCGGGCATCCCAGTAGGCGCGGAGCGGAGGGAGGGAGTCTGCGGGTCTCAGCGAAAAGGCCTTTCTTTTGTTTGACTCTCTCTGCTCTCTCCACCTGTCCAGGCCTCTCCTACAGAGTACGCCACACCCTGGGCTTGATGCTCTTCGACCACACTCAGGTGCAGTGCGCTGTAGCTGTCGTGTTGCTTTGAGTTACCTCATGCTCGCCAAGGAGGTGCCTCGTGTTGCTGGGCTTAGGTTCTTTTTCGGCCACATGTGCTGCCGCACCTGAGCCTGTAATGCAAATCATGCGCCACACTCGATATATGTCGGTGCATTGTTAGTAGCAGGCTGCCATGAATACTTATGTTCCCCTCCATCCTTCCCACTGTCCAGCTCCCGAAGGAAACTTCATCTTGATATCCGGGTCTGATAAGTGCTCGGACAACCCGCAAACTGACTCAAGTTTGAGGTGCATCTCTCGGAGCCTAGCCGGCTGGAGGGACCCCGCGTGCCGCCTCCTGTGAGGCGCAGGGAAACTTTTCAGTGAGTGTGTGGCTTAAACGATAGCCGATACCTCGCTGGTCGGGGCATGTGTTGGCTCTGAAGGGATGGCGATGGCAACATCAAGCCTGGTGGTGGGGAGCAGCAGCAGCCTTCCTTCCTGCGCAAGTGCGGCACCTGCATTCGACCAAACTCACATGATGCTGCGTGGACGTTGTGTTTCCTCCTGCGTTTCCCAGCATAGTTTCCTGCTCTTGAATGAGAATGAGACTTCGAGGTACTGGTGGGTCATCGCGATCGCCTGGAACTCGGCTAGGTCGTGCAGTCAAAGACGAATTGCGATGCTCACTGCCAGTCGCAGGCGGCAAATGTTTGTTGTAATCGCTATTAGCACCCAGCGAGGCTTTTCTGATGACTGCAGTGCTTGACGGTGAGTGTTCCGAAAGCCACGTCGATCTAAGGCTGTCCTGCTCATGTCCAGCATGGGAGATGACGGCTCTGGTGGCAAGGCAAAACAACGCGCGTAGAACTGCTTCTAGGCGTGCAAATGCCATCCTGCATCACTTTTTTGCCTGAGCAGGGCAAGGGTGGCGGTGGCGGCGGTGGCGGTGGCGGCGGCGGAGGCGGTGGTCGCCGTGGCTGAGATGAGACGCTGGGTAGAGGCACTAAGTTTCATAGGAGCTTGTTCAGCAAGAGCTGACCGGAAACTCACCAAGCAACACCACACATGCCATACTAACACTGCTGTTGGCTGATCCAAGCAGATTTTGCGCCATATGTGACAGCTGGCGACAGCTTCATCGCAGAGATGCCACAGCCCGAAAGGGGCGGTGCTGACAGTTCCCCTTGAGCCCGGGAGGCGCAGCAGCACTGCGTTCCTGAAGAACGATGACCAACAGCGCTAAGCGATAAGCTTCTCGAACATAGGAGAGGAGCACTGCCATTGGAATGCCTGGTTCAACACCCAAATTTCAGTTCTCATTTGTGCCAATCTGCCTTCGACTTGATACTCAAAGTCCCGAGCTGCGTTGCACGAATATCGAACCTTGCAGCGCAAGCCCAAGAAAAAGTGTTTTTGAACCTTGCCAAGGGAAACTGCATGGCAGTGCCTTTAGACCCCAGCTGTCGGGTCTGGGCGTCGCTGTAGCAGATGGATCCTGGACAGTGAAGCGTTCCCTCATAGTTCCGGGCTCAATAGTGACAGCAGCTCTTATCTTGATTTCTTTTACCGGCTCGAGCCTTGATAGACCAGTGGCATGTTATCGGCTACATCAATGCTCCTCCAAATCCGAGACGGCAGGTCCAGAAGCCACAAAAGAGCCCCTAAGAGTCCAATTCCCAGCCCCTCAGCAAACCCTTTCCCCCCCTTGCAAACTTTTCATGGCTCTTCTCGACACAGATGGAAGGCTGGAGCAAACAATCTTTTAGTGCCGCTTTGCAAAGTTGGCTTGCCAGTCCTGCCGTCGTGGGCAAGAGTGTGGGCTACTGGCTGGATTGCGCAGTCCCCAGCTGTACGATGGTTTCTCAGGTGTTCAAGGCACTGGAGAGCCCATGTCTGCCGCTGAGGCTCAGACTTTGTCTTCGGAGGCCAAGACCACGAGGTGAGGTGTTGTGCGCAGCAAGCAAGATACAGTACAGCATGATGCAGCGGTTGGGCAAGCCCAAGACGGGTTGCAACAGGAAGATGACATCATGGAAGTGGGTCCGCATACATTCCCTCGGGATTGGCTGCATGCTCAGAGCGCATGCTGTCGCAATCTGTTGTCGAGCCTTCGGATGATCGCCAGAGAGATCCGGAGGCCAGATGTCTACTCAGAAAGTGATGCCCTGCGGGCGCTTCTGCGACGCCGCGGGCCTTGCGCCTCGAAGCGTGCTGCTGGGCTGGCAGGGTTGTCGAAGGTCTTCGGGATGAGGCGATTTATCTTCAACGATTTCAGGATTGCATGTTCATGTCCAATTTCATGAAGCGTATGGGGCCCTTCTCTGCGCACCTTTGGTTTTCCGCCGAGCAGCGGCGCAGCGCTAACATGCCACATTTTTATGAAGTGGAGGACCCGAAGTAGTTGGGGTCTGGAGAACCCTCATGCAAGCCGAGTGTCTCTCGCCATTCAGGGCTTCGAGCGACACCCAAAAACACCAGAAAGGCTATTTCGTCGACAACGCCTTCCTCCGAAATGCTTTGGCATTGCGCCATTACCCGGAATAGACATCACAGTAGCTTGAAGCCACAACGTGCATCGTCATGCCTAGACTAGAAGCCCTACGGAATTTTTGGCCTGATCATTAAGTCGCTGTTGATGTGAGGTAAGTGTTGTCCCACTTCCAGAGGAGGCGCCGCCTGTCAGTCTGCATTTGTATCACTGGGGTAGGGGTTCTGGCCAGGGGCTTTTCTCGTTCTTGCACAGACCCCCTTCGTCAAGAGCAACTTAGCGAATTGGCTTGAAGTGCAGTGCTCATCCGTCGGTCAGGAGCATCTCTCCTGGGCAGATGGGCTGGAAGTGTGGCCTTTGCAGAGCCGACGCAATGCAGAGGTGTCGACATGTGTCGACTCTGTCTGCCGAGCTGATTGTCCTTCGAGCCAGGCGGCTGCGGCTCATGCTGGCCTGGCACTGGTGGAAGGTGAGCCCTGGGTCAGGAAGGGCGCTGAACCCATGAGTGCTTCTGGAAGGCTGGGCCATCTATGATCTCCTTGATGACGTGACTGGTGCAGCTTTTGTGGCGGAGAGGTGCCCATGGGCGATATTTTGGAAATCGTTTGTTGTGTTCGATTTGTGAGGTACTGGTGGAATGCCACGGACGATGGAACTTGGGTGGATTTCAGCCCAAGGCCTGAGAGACTCGGCTGCCATGTAGCGAAGCGGCCAGGCAGGCTGATTTTAGCCCGTGTGGCGATGGAGGAGGGGTCTCATGGGTGCTCGGTCGCGAGTGTTGCACTTGGGCGCCGAGGAACATGGAGCAACTGCTGCTGGCCCAACGCCCAGGTAGTCCGACGGAATCGCCTCTGCAGAGTCCCGTGCACGAGTGCTGAGGCTGAGGCCTTGGTGCCAGCCGAAGCTCGAGAGGCCGTTGTGCCGGGCGGTCCCAGTGCGGTCTCGCCCTGTCTCGCGGAGGCGACCGTCCTGACGGTGGAAGCGCAGGTCGCCTGACGAGTTGGCTTAGCGGCCTTCAGAGAACTTCAGAGCATTCCAGGACTTGGCCGAACATCTGGCGAAGCTCCGCTTTCCGAAGGCCAAGTCCCCAGATGCAGCCACTGATGGAGCAGCAGCAGCTGTGTTTTCCTTACTCTCGGAGGATAGAGGCCGACAGAGGGAAAGAGGCAACCATAGGCCAAGGCTATGACGACGCTAAGCACGGTGCAAAACCCAGTGAAGGCCAATGGCCTTTGCCCCGCCGAATCCGAGGCCAAGTGAATGTCAAGCAAATTCCTTGACAAGAAAGGTGCAGCCGAACACGGCGAGCACAAAACACAAGGCTCTTCGACGTTGTCTCAAGCATTGTCATCTACAGAAATTATAGGATTACCGGCCACACACATGGAGCTGTGACCAAACTTGGAGAGCAGGCTCACGTTATCCTTTGGCCGATTGCGTTGAAAACGCGATTTTTGCAGTCACTGAGGTGCGGCTTTGACTCGCACCGGAACAGACCCACTGTATGGCTTTGAAAACACGATTCGTAGTTGTCATCGACTTCTTGCATCAGTGCACCGTATATGTGTGCTAGGCACGACGTGCGGGCCGGCGCTCTTGGCGTGTTGCGGCACCGGAGCCAGGCATCTGTGCTTCTCGCAGCAGACATGCTCGCACCGCATAGGGCTGCTGTCCTTCAGTTCGGTATAGACCTTGATCGAAATATCTTCAAGTCACTATCTTCAAGTCACTGCTACTGTCTTGGGAGGCTCGCCGGGAAAGCATTCCTCCGTAGGTGCTGGGATGACCGCCGGTGACACACAGGCCCAAAAAACTCTAAATCCTTCAGGATGATGGAGCCATAAGGGCCAGGCCACCACTGCCAGCACACTATCACCACTGTCACCACTACCACCACTGCCACCACTACCGCCACTACCACCACTACCACCACTACCACCACTGCCATTACCACCACTGCCACGACCACCACCACGACCACCACTGCCACCATTGCCACCTCTACCACCAGTAGCACCACCACTATTATATTGCCACTGCCACCACTACCACCACTACCACGACTACCACTACCACCACCACCACCACCACCACCACCACCAGCAGCACCACCACCACCACCACCACCACCACCACCACCACCACCACCATCACCAATACTACCGCCACTGCCACCACTACGAGCGCTACCACCACTACCATCACTGCCACCACTACCACCACTGCCACCACCACCACGACT